AATCTTGTTGTCCCTTCTCGATTTAGCTTGTCTGGGAGTGAATGAGCAAAGGGGAGACAGATGACTGTGGCTGTTTGCCACCCTTACAGAGTGCCCTGCGTCCATTCCATTTGGAATGTGCATTATGTTTTGTCTAGCTAGAGAAAATGTAAACGTTAAACGATGTTCAAAAGTCTTATGCTATTGAAACTGACATTGAGACATCACCTCACTTGTTCTTCTGCATCTAAATTATGTGTCTCAGGAGCTGTGTTAGCTCCGTGGTGCAGGGAGCACTTGCTTAGCATGAATGAAAGCTTGGATCCAATCTCTAGTTCTAAAAGAAGAAAAAAGACATTCATTTCAGGACAATAAATTGTATGGCTGTTACTCCAGATGCTGAGTTCCTGTGAGTTAGTGGTGTGGCCATCATCAGAGAGGCTAGAGAAGAGTCATTTTAATGCTGCATTTTTGACAAGCACCTGACCCACTGCAAAAAGACACATGAGCTGTGTGGAGGCTGGAAAATCCTTGAAAATTAACAAGATAACCTGAAGGTGGTAGCGAAAACACCAGCAAAGAGCAAAGAGACTGTGACGAGCAAGAAAGGGTAGCTGGGAACAAAGGCCAGTGTGACCATGCATGCAACATATTATTACGTTACATATTAATATGAAAACATTAATAGTGTGCAATTAATATGCACTGGGGTCACAAAAATACAGAAAGACGTTAGAAAGGATTGTTTGCTATTCTAGCACAAATAAGTTCCCTCTTAATTTTTGACTTATATGTTAGGTCTTTTATTCTGTTTCCTTTTTAGTTATTCCTTTACACACTGTTTATGACTCATTCATGATTCCAAGATAGTAAAATATATTTTCTCAGTTTCTAGAACATTATTCATTGTTTGTTTGTTGAGTTTTCCGTTAGATTTGTCTTTAAACTTTCATGTTCCTCAAAGACTCCAGTATTTTAAAGATTTTTTTAAACCTGATATTTACAATGGTGATGTAGGACTTTTATAAGAAATTATTGACTTACTTTTGGAAATATTTATTCTAAGTTACAGGAACAGAATAAAACAGAAGTAGCTTTGAGCAAATTGGTACATTTGGGAGCAGTTAGCTATTTAAGGACGTTAAACTTGAATGCTGACATCTCTGCCTTTTGGCCTCTTTTGCAGAACATCATGGGTGAACAATGGCTCCATGCCATCAGTAGTCATGAGAAGAATCATGTTCCAATGTTTACACTGCATTTGTGTTGCTTCTGAGCTACTCACAAAACCTTAAATTTGTGGATTTAATATCAATTTCAAAGAAACATTAGGAACAGATGTATGAAGCAATCAAAAGCAAAAATTTGTAAATGCATCAATTAAATCAGCATAAACAAAAGAGTGTCTTACTTTTCCCCCTTGATACCCAAAGGAACAAAAACACTTTCACTCATTGGCATAGAAATATGCCTCAAAATAAGAACAAAAGTAATATGCTTATATACTTTTTAAAATATTACAAAATTCAATGGTGTTAATAGAAACTATTATAGCTTAACTATATGGGAACTTAGTCCCAAAATGTAATCAGTATATATTTATTTTTCATCTCCAGTGTAAAAAAATGGTTCTAGTCTTATGAATCAGTTTTCAATGTTGGTTATACTTAGATGTGTGTTTATGCATAAATATAATTTGCATAGCTATGTAATAAATTTTCTGAGTGAATTTGCACCAAATGTGAGGTTAGACATTGTTTGGATCCTCCACAATAATGAATTTATTTATTTGTTTGTTTTAGACTAATATGTATAACTTGACATAATGGATTTCACTGTGGTATCATCATACATTACTTTTGTTGATAGGAAGCATTTATTCTGATAATCTTTTTCTTCTAGTTTAGGTCAGAACTTCATATACACAAAGGATCTTGGAGGTGAAAATGTCCTTTAAGATTAACTACTTCTTTTAGAGAATTGATAGGCAGACAACTGCAGAGAACAGAAAATTCAGAATTTAACTTACTGGTATATGATCCTTTGGTAACAGATGATCCACAAGAGGACTTAAGTTACCATTCACTAATTAAATTTTCTGTTTGGTAACAATTTGGATGAAGATTGGGTCATTGGTCTAAGGGTTTATTCTTCTGGCAGTGGAAAGAGAAGATTTAGTGTATATTTTATTTTACTGTTGCCAACCATGAATTCTCTGTTTAGATATGCATCCCATGTTTAATTGGGTTATCTGTTTCCTTGACGTCCAGTTTTTTTAGTTCTACATATGTGCTAGATTGTCGACTTCTATTGGATATGTAGTTAGCAAAGATATCTTCCCATTATGCAGTCTGACACTTCTTCTGAATGATGGTGTCCTTTGCTATAAAGAGCTTCAGTTTCATCAAGTCCCATTTGTTAATTGTTGTTCCTTGTGACCATGCTGTTTGTGTTCTGTTTGGAGAGTATTTTCCTGTGCCAATGAGATCAAGACTATTCCCCACTTTCTCTCCTATCAGAGTCAGTATATCTGGACTTAGGCTGAGGCCTTTGATCCATTTGAAGTTTTGTGCAGGATGATAGGTATGGATCTATTTGCATTCTTCTATATGCAGACATACAGTTTGACCAGCACCATTTTTCGAAGATGCTGTCCTTTTTCCAGTGTGTATTTCTGGCTTTTTAAAATAAAAGCAGAATAAAACAATAACATTAAAAACAAAACAAAAATAACCAAGAAAAATATATAAACAGGTTCTTAAAGGTGTGTGAACTTATTTCCAAATCTTTAATTTGGTTCCATTATTCAACATGTCTGTTTTATTGCCAATATCATGTTGTACTTATTACTATGGTTCTGAACAATTTGAGATGGGAATGGTTATAGATCTATCAGTTCTTTTATTATTCAGGATTGTTTTAGCTGTCCGGGTGTGTGTATGTGTGTGTGTGTGTGTGTGTGTGTGTGTGTGTGTGTGTGTGTGTGTTTGTTTCCTTATGAAGTTGAAAAATTGTCTTTTGGAGTCCTGTGAAGAATTATGTTGGTGTTTTTTGGGGGAGTGCCTTGAATGTATATATGGGTTTTGATAGACTGACCATTTTTACTATATTAATACTACCAACCCATGATTATGGGAGATCTTTTAATCCTCTGATATCTTCTTCAGTTTTGTTCTTCAGTGTCTTGTTTTTTTTACCATATGATCTTTCACTTGCTTAGTAGAGTTATCTCAAGATAATTTAAATTTTTAGAGGGTACTGTGAAAGGCATTGTTTCCTTGACTTCTTTCCCAGTTCATTTGTATATAGGTAAACTAGTGATTTTTGTGTGTTAATTTTGGATCTTGCTACTTTGCTGAAAGAGTTCATCAGCTGTACAAGTTTCCTGGTGCACATTTTAGAGCCATCCCCTTTGACTTTCTGGCTTGAGATTATTTATTCCTTGAATTTTCCCATCCAGCACTTTTTGTAGAGCTGGATTTGTAGATAGATACAGCTTATATATAGTTTTACTGTGGAATGTCTTTGTCCATCTATTGTGATTGAAAGTTTTGCTGGGTATAATAGTCTGGGGTGACATTTGTGGTTTCTTAGAGTTTGCAGATCATCTTTCTGGGTCCTTCTGGTCTTTAAATTTTCCATTGAGAAGTCTGGTGTTGTCCTAATGGATCTACCTTTATGCTGTCCCTTGTAGTCTTTAATTATGATTCCTTTGTTATGTATGTTTAGTTATTTGATTATTATGTGCCAAGAGGAATTTCTTTTCTGGCTCACTCTATTTGGTGTTTTGTATACTTCTCATATCTTGATAGGTTCCTTGTTCTTTAGGTTGGGGAAATTTTCATCTATGATTTTGTTGGATATATTTTCTGTGCCTTTGACCTGGGTTTCTTCTCCTTCTTCTATTCCTATTACTTGTAGAATTGGTCTTTTCACAGTGTCCCAGATTTCCTGGATGTTTTGTACCTGGATTCTTTTTAAGCATTTTCCTTGACTGATGTATCCATATCTTTTATCTTGTCTTCAATGCCTGAGATTCTCTCTTCCATCTCGTGTATTCTGTTGGTGAGTCTGCCTCTTATTTAGACTCCTTAACTTTTCCCTCAGTCTTTGTTTCCTTTAGTGACTCCATTTCCACTCCCACACCTTGAACTGTTTTATTCATTTCCTTCCATTGTTTCTTTGTGTCTTCATAGATTTCATTAATGAATTTATTCATACCATCCTAAGGTCCTTGAGCACATTTATACTAGCAATTTTGAAGTTATTATCTTGTGCTTCAATTATGTTCCATTTTTTTCAGGCCTACTGTAGTAGGATTGCTGGGATTCAGTGAAGACATATTGTCTTGGCTATTACTGTGTGTTTATGGGGTTTGGGATGACTATAATTCTAGTTGTTGATATGCTGTCTTTGTTGGGTGGGTTTTCTGTTCCCTGGTTTCTGTCATCCTTTCTTGATCTTAGGAGACTATGGTTACTGTGGGTTACCTGGTAGGGAGTACTTCTGAGTGTCTGCCAGGTGTGTCCACTGAGGGTTCAGTGTAGACATCGTTCCTAGGTACCAGGAGCTAACAGGAAGAAATGGGGATGAGCTAGAAGGACTTGGAGCTGAGAGGGTCCACAGGAAGTAAAGAGAGCTGGATCTCCTACAGGATCTGTGGAGTTCCCAGGAGATGAGAGAAGAGAGTAAAGACAGGTCCCTGAGGATAGTCTACTACAGGGCTGGGGGTGAGATGAGAGAATTGGAAATGGAGGACAGGAAGCAAAGTGAAGATTGTCTACCTGATTTCCAGGCCAGTAAGGCCAATAGGTTTCCAAGGAGAGAGTGCTTCTGGGTGTTGGGGGCTGAGAAAAAGGGATGGGGTGAAGGAGGGAGGAAGGCTATAGGAGATCTTTGTAGTCCTCTGGGAATGGGGACAGAAAGGAAGGGAAGGCCTCAGAAAGAGGTCTGTTACAAAGCTGTAGATAAGACTGGGGCATGGGATTTGGAGTATAGGAAGGAGAGCAAAGACTGCCTACCTGATTCTCAGGCCAGCATGGCCAGCGGGTTTCCAGGGAAAGTTTGTTTTCTTTCTGCTTTGAAGACAATATCCTCATCACTGAAGGTTTAAAAAATAAGATGAAATGTGTTTTGAGGCAGCCCATTTAAAACATTCACTTCATATTTTTTTTAATTTTATTTTCCAGTTTAAATTTAGATAAGAATCAAGGTTGCTTCACAAGTCAGTTCCAGGTCCCTCTCCCATTCCCTCCCTTCCTCCCGTGCCCTCCCCTCCCCCCCCCCCCCCGTTATCCTCTCATTTCTCCAGGGAGGGTGAGGCCCTCCATGGGGGTGTCCATAGTGTGTCATTTCATATAGGGCAGGGCCTAGACCCTTTCCCAAGAGTTCTGGGTGAGAGTGCACCTCACATTGTTCTATTGGAGTCCAAAGTCCGTGTGTATACTTGGGATGGGTACTGATCTGCTGCCCAAGGCTCAATAGATTCCCTAGGCCTCTTCACTGACACCCAGATTCAGGGGGTCTTGATCAGTCCCATGCTGGCTTCCCAGGCTAATGCCTGGGATTCAAGAGTTAACCTTTGTCTGGTCAGCTGTTTCTGGGGGTTAAACCAGCCCAGTCTTAATCCCTTTGATCATCAGTCCAGCCCAGTCTTAATCCCTTTGATCATCAGTCCTCCCCTCTCTGTTACTGGCTTTCTTGAGTTCAGCTCAGTACTTAACCAAGGGAGTCTGCCTCTTCTTCGATCAGCCACTAAATAAAGTTTCTGTTTCCCAGACTCTCTGGCCATAGGATTGTAGGCTGGCACTCCCCAGATCTATGTCTAAAATCCATATATGAGAGAGTACATGCCATGTTTCTCTTTTTGTGACTGGGTTACCTCACTCAGGATGGTTTCTTCTAGTGTCATCCATTTGCCTGCGAATCTTATGATTCCATTATTTTTTTCTGCTGAATAGTACTCCATTGTGTAGATGTACCACATTTTCTCTATCCACTCTTCAGGTGAGGGACATCTAGGTGCTTCATATTTTTAACTCTAGAAATTTCATGTTTTCTCTTTATATCTTTGATTTCTCTTATAGATGAATGAAATTTCCCCATATTCATTTTTGGTTACCACCTGGCCAAAATGATCACCACTTTATGAAAAAAATTCATAAAGAACAAACATGCCTATGACTTTGTATGATTTTTGTGTTTGCTTGGGTGCTTCTTTTGGAAACTGCAATTCTTATCTAAAGCAACTGGAAACTACATCTTTGGCTTCAACTCTTATGTATTTGATCAAAAGAAATTCAGTGTAGTCTTCTTTTAGCAAACTAAGTCTACAGTATCTGATGAGCTAATTTTACTAGAATATGTGAATAAAAAGTTTTGTGCAAGACCTCAACAAATGCAAAACTTTTTATTAAACTAGTAAAAAATTAACATTCTATAGAAGTTTCCTCATGCCCAAACCTTCAAAGCCTGGCTGCTACCTTTCTAAACATTAAGGATCTGCCCAATACTAATACTTATATTTCACTTATTTCTACAAGAGAAAAATAATATGAAAGGAAACAAAAAAGGTTTTCAAATATAAGGTTCCCACTTTGGCACACCTTTGCTCTCCACTTACCCTGAATCTTCTTGGGAAAAATGATCATGAGTTCTGCCCACTCCCCCCAAATCACCAAACCTTTCTTGAGGAATACTGTCAGAGGACGATTCTTTGCCTCCCCAGAAATGAGAAACATTCCTGTAGCCTCATGTTACAGAGCAACTAGTACAGCTTTCCAGTCTAAAAATAGAGTGCTCTTTGCATTTGTTCCACTGTTCTTAGTGTAAAGGTAGACTTCTTCCCCTTCAAGTTAGAGTAGATGTCAGTTCCAGTTGCTGACACACTGTAGGGATCTTTGCCATCTTATATTCAGAACTCAGATTCCTTCAACCACTCCCTTTCATTGTCAGTAAGCTAACTGCTCTTCGGGTTGTACTGTAGGCTGAATGGAAATTATTGGGCTGAAGCCCTTCACAGAGTGACAGTACTTAGAGATGTGACCTTTTAGTGATTGATTAAATTAAAATAAGAATCCCAATCAATTTTACTGATATTCTTATAAAAGGAAAAATTAAGACATGCAAAAGATACATATTAGGTACCCCTGTGAACACTGAAAGGCCATGTGTCTACATCAAGAAGAGAAGCCTTAGGAGAAACTGTGAACCCTACAATGCAAATCTGTAAGTACTAACTAAAACCGTTACATAAGTTTCCCGTCTTCCATTTAGGATAACAATATATGTACCCAATATAATAATGATGGGTAAAAAAATATGTGTGTTCATTTAAAGTAATTACACTCCTGTGAAAATTCCTAGAGTACAATTAAATGTATGCACTTTTATGGTTCAAATGGAATATGTAAAACTGAACAGTATCACATGAGCATGCTTCTCTTCTGTTGAATTTGTATGTGTGTATGGTATATGTGTGTGTATATCCACACGAGTGGGCATGCATGCGTGTGCAGGTCCATAGTTGACATCAAGTAGTTTCCTTGCTCTCTCTTTATTTTACTTATGGGGGAAGATCCTCTCACTGAACCCAAAGCTTGTCAGTTCTAGCTAATCTAGCCAGCCAGCTGACTCTGGAGTTCCCCTGCTGTGCTGCTCCAATCCTGAGATTCCAAACAGCCCCAGTTGTCCCCACTCCTGTGAGTCAAGAGCTGATTTGTCCACGGAACCTTCTTCCAAGCCCATGTGGACATGCCCTTCCACCAGTGCATACCCTTCTCACTCTCTGCTTTCAACTAAACAACCATCACAACAGCTACGTTTTCATGTGACTTTGTTTGCAGATGTTGTGCTATAGTGAACATTACGCACGTCTTTAAGCGTTTAAAATATTTCTTTAAGCTTTAGACACTGGGTTACAAGATCAGGAGATAAACACATTTTCACACTTAACACTCATTGACAAATTGCCCTTCTAGAAATATTCATCTGAGAAAATGATTATGGGAGCTGCAAAGATGACTCAAATGTTAAGAGCGTTAAGAGCATAATACTGTTCTTGTACAACTGACTTTGCTTTACCAAACCCACTCTGGTCAGCTCACTGATGCCTGAAGATTCAGCTTCACACAGATGTATTGTGTCTGGTCCTCATGTGCACATGCCTACCCACAAGCATATAGATACACACATTATTAAAAATGAAAAAATCTTCAAAACAAGATATTGGTGCCTTAGGCTCTGTCTAGACGTTTGTAGTTTGGCGTGCATGGGATTTTTCTCTTAGTTTAATACATAGGCATATGTATTATATGGGAGTGCATTTATTCATTCTCTGTCACAGTCATTGTGCAGAGCAGCGTGAGCAGTAGAAAGAAGCTGTGTCTGCAGAGACTGACTACAACTGCAGTACTGCAGAGAGACTGGAATGTTGCAGGTCCCGAGGCCATTGTCCTTATCTTAGGCCAGTTCTAGCCATCCAGAACAGCTATTCCTTGCCCACCTCTGTCTCTGAACTAACATATTGTGACTAATAGATAAAGACCTTTGGAACATATTAACTTACCAGACCACTAAATTTCACTGACCCAGAAGCTAAGAATGTCATCAGATAGCATCTTGGGCCTGTAGAAAGGCTTCCCCCACCTTGCTGTACCTGCCTCTCTGATGAGCACACAAATATACTGTGAACTAGACTTGATTTACGACTTCCTTTGTGCTGTGAAACTATAAAATTTCATGGAAGGTGTTCCACATTGGAACACGGAATTTGGAATAACCTAAACCTGTGTTTCTCAGTCATGGTCACTCATAATGGTTCCAGAATAGACTATCTCTTGTTCCCTTTAAGATGGGAGCTGTGGTTTTTTGCGTTGACAACAGAATTATGTGGGGGCAAGGGAGGAAGGAGGACAGGGAGAGGGAGAGAGGGAGAGAGAGTTTATATGTCTAGGAAACACAATGAGCTGTTAAGGGTATGACTACCTATTTAAAAGACATCAGAAATACTGGCAAGATTAACAAACATAAATGTGTTGAAAACAAAAATATACAGCAAACATCAAAATATTATTCACTAAAATATTGATTGTAATAAATTTTGAAACTGTAAAAAGCTTGATATACTAAAAGGCATAATGAACAGAAAACTGCTAAATCCTTCCTTAAAAATAATACAAAATAAAAGTCATGGACTTTTCCATCTAAAAGTTTGGTATGATGTGTGCCACACATTAAAATCATCCAACAACTGATCCTACTTACCAGTAGCTTTCAAATGATATGGACATTTTAATATTAGAAACTGCTGAGATTTGTCACTTGTATTGCAGAAGTAACAACATAAAAATGAATGCAGGGGATGTGGGGGATGAGGGCAGGTAATAAAGTATGATGCCGTAAATACATAAAAACACCATAATGAAACTTTGTATGCTAACTTGAAGAAATAATAATAAGACACCCTCCTCTGGGCTCACAGCCTTGGCAGCCTTATTGGAAGTCAGAATGGTCCTAGGAACCTCAGAAAGACACTGCCCACCACCTGCTAACACTCTTGAATGCACCACTCCCTTGGGCTCTACTGCCCAGCCTACTACTTTGGAAAAATCTTTGGCTTTACCCGAGGCTAGGCCAGATCTAGGGACTCTAGATCCCAAAAAGGACATCCTACTGGACCTGAAGACTTGCTTGTCACCAAAATCTTTGGCCATTTAGGCCAGAAGACCAGATATAAAGAGAAAACAAGGAACAAAACATACATCCAAAAAAGATAAATGCAGGAATCAACACCAAGACCTATAATCATCCCAAATCCATATGCCTAAATGTCAATATAAGAACACAATCAATAACAGAAATGGCAATATGGCATCACCAATGCCCAGTCGTCCTACAACAGTAAGACCTGAACAATACAACACAGATGAGACACAAGAAAATAACTTTAAAAATGACTTTATGGAGATAGAGGTCCTTAAAGAGGATTTTAAAAATATCTCTTAAAGAAACTGAGGAACACAAACAAACAAACAGAAAAAGCCTGGAAGAAATCAGTTAAATCCCTAAAATAAAACCAAGAAAAAACAAACAGATGAAGGAAAACGTTCAAGAACTGAAAATGGAAATAGAAGTAATAAAGAAAACAGAAACAGAGGGAATCCTGGAAATGGAAAATCTGGATAACTGCACAGGAACTATAGATGCAGCAACACCAACACCAGAGATGGAAGTGAGAATCTCAGTCATTGAAGACATGATAGAGGAAATAGATTCATCAGTCAAAGAAAACGTTAAATCTAAAAAATTCCTAACACGGAACATCCAGGAAATCTGGGACTCTATGAAAAGACCAAACATAATAATAGGAATAGAAGAAGAAGAAGAAGAAGAAGAAGAAGAAGAAGAAGAAGAAGAAGAAGAAGAAGGAGGAGGAGAAGGAGAAGGAGAAGGAGAAGGAGAAGAAGAAGGAGAAGGAGAAGAAGAAGGAGAAGAAGAAGAAGAAACTCAACTAAAAAACCCAGAGCATATTTTTAACAAAAACATAAGAAGAAAAATTTTCCAATCTAAAGAAGAACATGCCTGTAAAGGTACAAGAAGCTTACAGAACACCAAATAGATTGGATCAGAAAAGAAAATGCCCTCTCCACATAATAATAAAAACACTAACTATATAGAACAAAGAAAGAATATTAAAAGCAGCAATGGAAAAAGGCCAAGTAACATATAAAGGCAGACCTATTAGAATCATACTCAAGTTCTCAATGGAGACTCTAAAATCCAGAAGGGCCTGGACTGATGCTTTGCAGACTCTAAGAGACCACAGACACTGGCCCAGATGCCAGCCCAGACTACTAACCCAGCAAAACTGTCAACCACCTTAGATGGAGAAAACAAAATATTTCATGACAAAGTCGTATTTAAACAATATCTATCCAAAAATCTGGCAATACAGAAGGTATTAGAAGGAAAATTCCAACCCCAGAAAGTTAACCACAAAAACACAGGCAATCTCACACCAGTAAAACCCAAGAAGGGAAACACACACAAACACACACATACACACACACACACACACACACACACAACCACCACTACCATCACCGCCAAAAAAATTTAATTAACAATCATTGGTCACTAATATTCCTTAGTATCAGTGGCCTCAATTCACCAATAAAGAGACCAAAAAAACCACAGGGTAACTAATTGGGTATGAAAACAGGATCCATCATTCTTCTGCATACAAGAAACACACCTCAACATCAAAGATAACCCTTATCTCAGGGTGCAGGGTTGGGAAAAGATGTTCTAATCCACTGGAACTAAGAAGCAATCTAATGTAGCTTTACTAATATCTAACAAAATAAACTTTCAAAAGAGATGAAGAAGGGCATTTCATATTCATCAAAGAAAAATGCACCAAGATGATGCCTCAATTCTGCACATCTATGCCCCAAATGTAAGGATACCCTTTAACTAAAGCTTAAATCACACATCAAAACCCACACAATAATAGTGGGTGACTTCAACACCTCACTCTCACCAATGGATGAGTCATCCAGACAGAAACTAAACAGAGAAATAATGGAAATTACATGTTATGAGTCAAATGGACCTAACAGATATTTACAGAATATTTCATGCAAACACAAAAGAATACACTTTCTTCTCAGTATCTCATGGAACCTTCTCTGAAATTGACCATATATGCAACCACAAAGCAAGTCTCAACAGATACAAAAAAAGTTTTGAATAAACCCCTGTATCCTATAAGACCACCATGAACTAAAGCTGGATTTCAACAACAAAAAGCCTACAAATTCATGGAAACTGAACAACTCTCTACTGAGTTACTACTGGGCCAAGGAATAAAGAAACAAAGAAGTTAAAGACTTCCTAGAATTCAATGAAAATGAGTACAAGACATACCCAACTTATGGGACACAATGAAAGCAATGCAAAGAGGAAACTGCATAGCATTAAGTGCCTTCATAAAGAATTTGGAGAAATTTCGTACAAGCTACTTAACAGCACACCTGAAGGCTCTAGAACAAAAGGAAGCAAATACAGCAATTTTACACTTTATTTTTTAGGACTGTAAAGTGTGAAGCCATCGCCCATTTCACCCTCTGTTAGTTTCCATAAGATGTCATTTGTCATATCCTGTTTCTGAGCTCATTGATCTTCAGTAAAAGATTGCCACTCATAGTCTCACTTACTCAGTCCCCACTCGCTGTATCCTTCCTGTCTATACAATTATGTCTATTTCCTAACTTGTATTCCTCCCTGCAGCCTCTCTCTCACTGAAAGTGACATTATTCTAAGGTTTATCTGATTATATAACCCATCGCTTCAGAATCCTAAACTAGGTCCATGTTGCAAGCATTTTAGAATAGATAAAATCTTCCCAGTTTGCTCTCAAGGCTCTCCACAGTCTTGCTCCGGGCTTGATTTCTAAATATATTTCTTAGTAAATCCTGCTTCCCACCTTCACCCAGAGCTTCAGCCGCCAGGACATCTCACCTATGTCTCACAGGGTTTCGTTTACTGATGCTATGTGATGATGACACTGGAAGTATCTTTCAGCATTTCAGCTCTTGCCAGGAAACTTCTCAGACTATAAACTACTCCCAATCTTATCTTTTAAGGTGCTTTCCAAAAATTTCCACTGGAATTTCTTTCTTTTTTTCAACTCATACCAGCTGAAAAAAAATTAAAGTTTCCCTAATGTTTTGAACATTCGACTTATTTTCATCAGATATCATTGTGTTTGTCTCTTCGGTTTTAGCTGCCATAGTGCTTGGTGGGGATGATAAAACATTTGACACACATTCTCAGTGAATATTTACAGGGTGAATATGTGTGCCGATTACTAGTAAAATCACAGAAACTATTTCAGTAAGACTGATAAGAAGGTCTCCTTCATTTACTTTCTCTGTTAAAAAACGTTAGTTTCTTTTTATAAACAGGGGACATCAATGTCATTCATATTTGTATCACTGGGTTTGGGGAGGATCACTGTAAGTGAAAACAGACTTTTTGTGGAATGATTTACAAATGCAAATTTTCATCCTTTCTCCTAAATAGAATACAAAATCATTTTGACTAAGAAGAAACTCAAAAATTTGTGTTGAATCATTATCTCACTGACTAGGGTACTTCAAACCTGAAATGTGCCCTGCTAAGAAGGTATTAAGATAGTGAAAATCATTGATTGAATTGATTGAGAATTAAGCCAGACATCTCTAAGTAGATAGTTAATACAACTGGTACAAGTCTTTTATTGTGACAAATGGAGATTTTTGCTGTTATTATTATTTTAGAGACAGGGCCTACCCTGTGTAGTCCAGGCTAGCCTTACATTTGCTATGTAACCCTGGTTGTCCTCAGTTCTTTACCTTCCTGCCTTAACCGTTCCAGGCTGGGATTATAAATTGTGCCTCCATTCAGTAACAAATGAGTTCTTGGTAAAACAGACTTACTTTGGGTCACACTTAGTCTAAAAGAAGATTATATGAGTTGTACATGATCTCTCAACAGATGAAAAATCAAAAGTTTAAAGTATCCATCCCAGTAAGTTAAAAAAAAGTCATCCAGTTAGTAATTGTCACCCCCAAAGAGACAAACAAACACAAATAAAAGTTGTTGAGATTTCAGGCAGGAACAGAGTTGGATCTGAATCAGATCAATTAAATCAGTACAGGATAGGTTATACTGTCCCCTAACACAGGGAC